TACAACTTGAGTCGGTGACATGTTTACAACTTGAGTCTGTGACATGTTTACAGCTTGAGTCTGTGACAGATCCAACCAAAAGTTCATCTCCCCATCCTGCTGAAAAAACGTCTAAACAATACTCAACGATATTGTCATCGTAAATTTACTGGAGATTCACTATGTATACCCCACCCCACAATTTTATAATCTTTTGAGGCGGAAGATGAAACACTGCTAAGACATAACTCATAGGTAGGTATGCTGTCAACAGAGATATAGAAAGGTGGCAAGACTGATCTACTGTAACACTAATACCTACAGGTTTATACCTACCCTGTGGGCCATCTCCACACAGAAAAGGTATTGCTTACACCTTGACCTTTTGACCTTCCCCTTTTGTATAGGATTCCGTACTCACTGATGCGGTTGGTAAGAAAACAAACAAATTCTAGTCATGTTCTTGTCTTCTTTACTTCTCTTATCTACATGTGTATATCAATATTACAGCAAGGTACAAAGACCTTGTGTCGGCTGTTTTAACATGATTCATAAATATAACTATATTGTGTATATTGTATATGTACTTTAGGAGGTGTTTACTTATAGCCATGTTATTATTGTTGATGGTAGCCATTCAGTTTTTCTCACACAAGCTGTCATATTCATTGCACAGACACTCATTTCTGATGTTTTGTTCTGAGGAGATGGTTTCATTCTAACGTCAGATATATAAACATATATTTAGCCAGCACACAAGTCTCTAAATACACAAAGACAGATTTAATGTGTCCCAATAGTTACCCTTCTGAATCAAGAAAAAGGTAGGAAAGAGGTAGACAAGACATGTTTTTTTAAAAACTTATTTTCTATTGAGTATAAACAGATATCTGACCAAACGTTATCATGTGATAATGGATAAATGTCTGACTCACTGACTTTGTGGTATGTAGAACATGGTAAGGATATCCTAGTGATGGGGAGGTAAAAGGGTGGCCTTGTTTACCCCTGTCAAAGCATAACCACCCATAATCACTTGTTTGACAATAGCACCTCTGCCATATGATGACACTCCGCCATCGTTCAGGTGCAAGTGGCCCTTCACACCTGTCAGTGGTTTAGAGTATTGTTAGTGGGATTCATGTTACACCACATGTACGAGTGTACCACAGATTTATGTTACACCACATGTACGAGTGTACCACAGATTTATGTTACACCACATGTACAAGTGTACCACAGATTTATGTTACACCACATGTACAAGTGTACCACAGATTTATGTTACACCACATGTACAAGTGTACCACAGATTTATGTTGTAGCATTGTATAACACTACAGTGTACTGGATTATCACAGATACACGCCTTACGATGAATGGTAAAGGCTCAAGTGATGATACATGTATACTTCATAATGACATGTCACAATTACCTCTCAAGGTCCTTAATTTCCTAAGTGGTTTTTACCCATCATGACATACTGGTCATTGTTTGTATCTCGTGATGACACTGGAGTGTCTGGAGGTGGTGGACATGTAGAGTGCAATAGTTATCACCCATGCTTCTTGACCATTGCACTGATGACTGTATTCTGTAAATCTACCGTAACCTGAAATTATGAAATTAAAACAAATGTAAACACACTATTAGACACAGCCCAAATTCTATACTTTTACTACAATGGAGAAGGTCATCACATATTTCTGTTAGCCCACCTAGATGTACTATGGAGGAGTCATAGACCAGGGTTCTACATCCCCCACCCTGCACCGTGTCCCCCACCCTCACCCGCACCACCGTCCCCCAACCTCCACCTTCCTTGTTTTTTATATCAAAAATAACAAAATATGAGTTATAACATCACCCTTTAGAGATTATGCCCTTCCTTTATAACATCACCCTTTAGAGATTATGCCCTTCCTTTATAACATCACCCTTTAGAGATTATGCCCTTCCTTTATAACATCACCCTTTAGAGATTATGCCCTTCCTTTATAACATCACCCTTTAGAGATTATGCCCTTCCTTTATAACATCACCCTTTAGAGATTATGCCCTTCCTTTATAACATCACCCTTTAGAGATTATGCCCTTCCTTTATAACATCACCCTTTAGAGATTATGCCCTTCCTTTGTAACATCACCCTTTAGAGATTATGCCCTTCCTTTTACAGTTTTGATTTCAGCCCTGCACAAACACTTATATACTACCACGCCCCTGCACTCCAACTGTACACTAAACTTTCCACCTATAAAGCAGTGTCCTCTTGTTTAACTGTCCCCTGTAGTATCCTACATAGATAATGACTACAGGTGAACATTTGTTTTTCAAGGTATCTCCACTTGTCTGTTTTAATCTCACAATCTTACACCCTATTAGGCTTTTTAACAAATCCACTTTCCCTATCATTTATTGTAGAGCGACATGTAAGCAGACTTAGTGTTGGACAATGTTATGTATCAATAGCCAGACTTGTGTGTCCCCCATCGGGATTACTGTATAACATTATTACCATGTAAACAGGGGTCTGTCAAGCATCTCCTTGTAGGGTATACACACCACCCTATACATACATAAAGTAGTTTACATTGACCCAAATATAAGTGAGATTTATCCTGATCTTGAGACACCACCTACACCACTGAGGAGTCGCTCACACTACACCAAGCTTGGTCACTGTGGTGTGTCTAGTGCTAGTGGCCGGCTGTATCATTGCCTTCAACATAACCATTTAGAAAATTTCCCAGACTTTAGAGTTGAGGAGTGCTGTGTGGAGTATTGGGAACGCTCCTCGCTATATCACTGTCTGACACAGGGAGGCTACAACAGCTAAAAGGGTGTGTACAAAAACAGAGTTTCTCAGGATTTCCTTTAAAAAATTGGAAGTGTAAGTGTGATTTTGGATTTTTAAAACTCTGAGGAATTTCAGTAATCATCCAATAGCTCCTGTGAATTAGGTTTGTATTTTGTACGACCATATTTGTATATGTGTTAGACACGCTTCTTTAGCTACCCAAAAATGGTGTGTCGTCTGGTCTAAGATCATATGTCTCAGTAAATAGTTTACAGTCTAAGAGATTTGATCAAGAGTAATAACAAAGAAAATTGTCAGGTCATTATGGTAAGAATTTCATTGATGAAATTTAAGAGAAGATGGATATTGTACTATAAACCCTATCATAGGATGTAGATCTAATGGAATAGAAATTGTAAGATGGAGGTTAACAGGAGGCCCTTCCTTGAAGTTCCTTATGTTTTATAATCACCTTGGCTTATAGCCCGCAAAATTTATTATATGATCTAATCACTCCCAGACTATAATTTTTTTATAATTTTTTATAAAGATCCATGAAAGTGGAGGAAGACATTTTTTATTTTCATGCGTAAAGAGAGTGCTTTTGTGTTTTTTAAACAATTTGAAGAATTCAGTCGCCATGTATAATGTGACTGCAGCAACTGAGTTTGCTGCAGTGTAGGGCACACCCCAGTGTCTACGACTTACGTTTTAGTGTGAAAGTTCATGTAACCAAACTCACACCAGCCAGACACCACACATGTGTGACCGTACCGTTCACCATTGCTGCAGTTCTCTCGGGTAATAATGATTTTCAGAGTCGTTCTGCCAAATTGGTTATTAGTGAGTCATTGTTTATTGTCCAATTATTTACGTTTTATACTAAATGAGTGGATGGAGGACAAAATATGAACATAACATAGTTATATCTGTCGGAGAATTATATCAGGGCTTATTAGCTTGTTAATATATATATTCATATAGTTATTACATACCTCACAAATTACATGGAGCACTTTGATGCCATTAATTAGTTGCCTTGAAGAGCCATATTTGATTTGTAAAATTATGACATTTTTGTAATAAAAGGTACATTTTTGATGTAATGAGAATAAATTGCGTTCAAAGCAATTGTCCTTGTGAATAGTCTCATCAAGAAACTAGGTTCTTATCAAAATGAGTTGTTCAGTGTTCTGCACATTATAATTAGTTAGCTTAGATATAAACTACACACAGGTAGTGAGAGCCTGGGTCAGGTTATAATACCTATTAGTTAGCTTAGATATAAACTACACACAGGTAGTGAGAGCCTGGGTCAGGTTATAATACCTATTAGTTAGCTTAGATATAAACTACACACAGGTAGTGAGAGCCTGGGTCAGGTTATAATACCTATTAGTTAGCTTAGATATAAACTACACACAGGTAGTGAGAGCCTGGGTCAGGTTATAATACCTATTAGTTAGCTTAGATATAAACTACACACAGGTAGTGAGAGCCTGGGTCAGGTTATAATACCTATTAGTTAGCTTAGATATAAACTACACACAGGTAGTGAGAGCCTGGGTCAGGTTATAATACCTATTAGTTAGCTTAGATATAAACTACACACAGGTAGTGAGAGCCTGGGTCAGGTTATAATACCTATTAGTTAGCTTAGATATAAACTACACACAGGTAGTGAGAGCCTGGGTCAGGTTATAATACCTATTAGTTAGCTTAGATATAAACTACACACAGGTAGTGAGAGCCTGGGTCAGGTTATAATACCTATTAGTTAGCTTAGATATAAACTACACACAGGTAGTGAGAGCCTGGGTCAGGTTATAATACCTATTAGTTAGCTTAGATATAAACTACACACAGGTAGTGAGAGCCTGGGTCAGGTTATAATACCTATTAGTTAGCTTAGATATAAACTACACACAGGTAGTGAGAGCCTGGGTCAGGTTATAATACCTATTAGTTAGCTTAGATATAAACTACACACAGGTAGTGAGAGCCTGGGTCAGGTTATAATACCTATTAGTTAGCTTAGATATAAACTACACACAGGTAGTGAGAGCCTGGGTCAGGTTATAATACCTATTAGTTAGCTTAGATATAAACTACACACAGGTAGTGAGAGCCTGGGTCAGGTTATAATACCTATTAGTTAGCTTAGATATAAACTACACACAGGTAGTGAGAGCCTGGGTCAGGTTATAATACCTATTAGTTAGCTTAGATATAAACTACACACAGGTAGTGAGAGCCTGGGTCAGGTTATAATACCTATTAGTTAGCTTAGATATAAACTACACACAGGTAGTGAGAGCCTGGGTCAGGTTATAATACCTATTAGTTAGCTTAGATATAAACTACACACAGGTAGTGAGAGCCTGGGTCAGGTTATAATACCTATTAGTTAGCTTAGATATAAACTACACACAGGTAGTGAGAGCCTGGGTCAGGTTATAATACCTATTAGTTAGCTTAGATATAAACTACACACAGGTAGTGAGAGCCTGGGTCAGGTTATAATACCTATTAGTTAGCTTAGATATAAACTACACACAGGTAGTGAGAGCCTGGGTCAGGTTATAATACCTATTAGTTAGCTTAGATATAAACTACACACAGGTAGTGAGAGCCTGGGTCAGGTTATAATACCTATTAGTTAGCTTAGATATAAACTACACACAGGTAGTGAGAGCCTGGGTCAGGTTATAATACCTATTAGTTAGCTTAGATATAAACTACACACAGGTAGTGAGAGCCTGGGTCAGGTTATAATACCTATTAGTTAGCTTAGATATAAACTACACACCGGTAGTGAGAGCCTGGGTCAGGTTATTGTCTAGGGTTGGGATCCTATGGAATGGTAATCATTGGTCAGCATCAGGATAGTCATTGGTGGCAGGACTCTACAGTAGTCAGGTTTTAGTGAATGAACCAAAACTTGGATGGTATTGAGTTGAGCTTAGAGTGATGTTTTTATGGTAGAAACAACTAATTAGGCAATGTCTATATTCATTTTAATGCACCAATATTTCATTGGTAAAACCATGCTAAATAAAAGAAGTTTGTATAAGGTGTGGTTGGCAGTTATATATGGTTGGACTTTACAGACAGGAGCTGTATCATTATTAGGTGTGGTTACAGAGGCAAACAGGATCTATATTAAGTTTGGTCTGGAGTGACAATTTAGCGGTTGAACCTTATTTTACAGAACGGGTCAGAATTTGGTTGAGACTTGGCCAGGAACCAAATATTTTGTGATGTAGCAGTACATATAAAGCAGCATTAATCCAGGAATCAATACCAGTAGTGTACGCAGGCTAGTGTTTCACCAACAAACTTCTGGGTGATGTCAGCTCTCGGGGACCAGGCCTCTCAAAATTCATCCCTGATAGTGATTGGCTTCTTAATGTGAAGTTGACAGACATTTTCTAAACCCACTATTCTGTATTAACAATATTTATAACATCTCAGGAGTGTCTAACCCCCAATTAGATAGTAAGTTATTTATTTTGGCATGTAGCTTTCCAGAACATTAAGATCTTTGTGGAATGGTCTCGGTTGTGTACTATTGGGCAATGACACCCTCTTGTGTACGTTTGGGGAGTACCCCATCCCCCTTATTTACTTTTGGGAAGTGATCCCTCTTGTATAGTTTGGGGAGTGCCCCACCCCCTTACTTGTGTACGTTTGGGGAGTGCCCCACCCCGTTACTTGTCTACGTTTGGGGAGTGCCCCACCCCCTAACTTGTGTACGTTTGGGGAGTACCCCATCCCCCTTATTTACTTTTGGGAAGTGATCCCTCTTGTATAG